GTCTCCTACTTCGTGTAATACCCTCCCCTCCACCCCCCATGGCCTCCTCCCCGATGACCCTCCTCCTGGATCCCTTTCCTTGCTTGCTCTCCCCTCCTCCCCAGCCCTGAGCTTCACCCACTTCCCATATTTCCCGTGGTAACCCTCTCCCCTGCCCCCGGGTGATCAACACAAGCTTCATTCCCTACTCATTAGCGGATTGCCTACTTTTCCTGTCAGTAATCACCTTTCTCTTGTCCCATCCCCCTCCTCCCCTGACCTCCTGGTGGTCACCATCTGTATTAACCCAACCTCTGCCCTCCCCTTCCCCCCTCACTCTCCAGAGTGGATGCTGAAACAGCTGGCCAAGAGAGTGAGGAGGAAAGGTCTCTGGTCCCCACTGGGGAGGGCTGGCCCCAGAGCAGCTCCTGGCTCCTGGGTGGAGGGGCGGCAGGCATTGCTCACCTTGCCCCCCCACCCCCTCCCTGCTCCCTGGGGGACTTCTGGGGTGACCTGGCCTCACCTTAAAAAGGACCAGAAGCTTTTTAGCCTTGGGCAGCCCCTGGACTGGTAATGTGAACTGAATTAACCAGGTCAGAGCTATAGGTCTGCTTCCCCCACCCCCCAGGGAGGAGGTGTTCATTGTATCAGAAGTTATACTTGATTGGACTTGCTCACGAATTGGCCATGAATTTGGACTTGATTCCCCCAAGCAGACTGACCTTTAAGATCTGGAGTTGCATATGATTAAAGTGCAGAACTGCAATGAGGTGTCCCCATCCCTAATGAGGACAGAAATGAAACATGAACAGACGTGTGAAGGAAGCCGGAAGTTGCTGTGGTCACTGAGACTGGGGGTGGGGGTGGGGGAGGAGGAATCCGTGGGCGATGGAGGTTTGTCACTGGGTGCAATAGGGTCCAATGTTTGCACCGGTATTTAATCCACTGCCAGTCACCCTGCAAGTGTAAGGGCGACCTTTAGTGTCATATTTCAGCTGTGAGCTTGTTAACCCACCCCTGGGCCCAGGGCCCCGCCTGCGTTTTCTGGCTAAAAGTAACAGACAGGTCTGAAAAGTCCTAACTTCAGCTCTCAGTGCTGTTTATGATCTTGTGAGCAGGGTCCGAGCCTGGAGCTCAGGGGATCGGGATCTTTTGTTGCCTTTTGTCTATAGCTCAGTCTAGGGAGTGACCAGGGGCTGTCCTTGTAGAGAATGATGCTTCCCCGAGAAGGGGGTAAGCTGCGGGGGGAGTGGGGGGCGCTCAGGGTAACGATTCCTTCATCCTCTACCCTGCCCTCCAGATCTTCATGTTGACTGACTTAAACTCTAGTGCTTAGCAGGGCTGATGGGAACTAACACTTCACAGGTGTTTGTCAAATTATCAGCCTCTCACTCTGAGAACATTTCAGGAAACCTCTCCTCCCGAGAGAGGGTGTTTACAAGCTCCAGTTCGGAGTTGAGCTCAGTGATGGGGGAAATCCCTTTTAGTCCGAGTTGCTTGTTGCTACGCAGGTGATGGTTTCACACGGAAGTTCAGGAATCCTGGGGTTCTGTGGTGAGATGGCTTGCAAACAAAACACCTTTCATTCAAATTTTCTTTCCCATCTCGAGAGGAAACAGCTGCCAGTCATGGGTGGGGGCGGGGGAGGGGGGGACTGAGAGAGAACCAGGGGCACAGAGGGGTCTCTTTCCATCCAGGGGGGCCCAGCCTTGCCCTCTCCTCCCAAGTCTGTGATGAAATCAAGAACATGTGAGAGAGAAAAAAATTAGCGTCTAACCTCCAAAACTCTTGTATTTTTCCTAGAAACATAAAAACCATGCATGAATATTCAGCACGTGTGCTTTGGACTTACTGAACACAATAGTCAAGTGGTTCCTTGTTCTTTCCCTAAGCTGGGAAGATGCAAAGAGGCGGTTAATGATCACCTAAGGTTTCCCTTTCGTTTTTGGCTTTGCAAGTCTGGGGACCAAAAAAAAAAACCACCACAAAGGAAACAAACAAACCACCACTTGAGATGTGTGGCCACAAGAGCGTCCAGAATCTACCTGTAGCTGCTGGAATGTTCTGTCCTGAGTCATCTTACCCTGCGGCCCCACCGTTGGTTTTGCTGGCTCAGCAAGGTGGATGCCACATGTCATAGCAGTCACCAGCGCACATACTGAATGCTCACCATGACGTGATCGTACGTGCTTGACATCCATCATTCATCCTCATTCAGTGAGAAGAGCATTACCCGTCTTACAGATGAGGAAACTGAGATTTAGAGAGGGGAAGTGACCTGTCCGGGGTTGGGAGTGCTGCTCAGTCTAGCCCAGGGGTCCTCAAACTACGGCCCGCGGGCCACATGCAAATACAAATATTGTATTTGTTCCCGTTTTGTTTTTTTACTTCAAAATAAGATACGTGCAGTGTGCATAGGAATTTGTTCATAGTTTTTTTTTAAACTATAGTCCAGCCCTCCAACAGTCTGAGGGACAGTGAACTGGCCCCCTGTTTAAAAAGTTTGAGGACCCCTGGCTCTAGCCCATCTCCAGGCTGGGTTCTTAATCTCTGCCCCATCGTAAGAACTTTTGGGCCACATTTGGTCCTGAAAGGGGAGGGTCCAGCTCTCCCACTTTTTTCGTTACTCTCTCATCTTCTTGAGAGAGGAGAGGGAGGGCGGAGCACAAAACGAATTGTCTGAATTATTTTTCTGCTCGAGATGAGGGGATGCAATAGCACATAGACCTGGCGGTTCTCATCGGGTTAGAAAAAGCAGGTGGATGGTGGGGTTCATTCAGCTGGGGAACATGGTGGGGACTTTATAGACACAGCAACGTGACCCCTGTGGCCTGATCATGCCTTTAGGTTATAAGGATAATCAGGGTGCTGGACAGTGACCCCGACCATCAGTAAAACACGTGGGAAAGTATCTGTGTGTTTGGAGACAGTCAGAGACCTGACAGGGCTTTTACTTAGTAAGGAGTCTCCCAAGTGAGTAGTTGAAATGCCCAGTGTCTGCCATGGCTGGGGCCACAGGGAGCCCAATTCCTTTTCCAGTTTGATTTAAGCTCAACCCATGTCAGAAGGGCAAGAGAGATTAAATAAGAATGATGGAGGGCTATGAAAACAGTGAAATGGAAAATATGCCGTCTTCAAGTGCCTTTGCCATTTTTAAAATGCTTTGTGAACCCACATCTACTTAAAGGGACAGAGCGTGAAGGGGATGAAGCATTTATTAAATGGCTACTATGAAAGTATAGCAAAATGGGTAGTTACCACTTTGAAGTCATATGGGATTTGTGTCCCCGCTGTGGCTGCAGGAACTTCGGGGAGTTCTAGGGTCTCTGAGCCTCAGTGTTCTCATCTGTGAAATGGGAACTCTGGTACCTCCTCAGGATGCTGTGAAATGCATGGGACTACTGTCATGGTCAAACAGTGCTCGATGCAGATGAAACACCGCTGGTCCTTTGGGAAAAGGGGGTGGTGGTGAAGTGGAGAGAGAATACACAAGACTGAGAAGTGTGTCACCTGCCAACAAGGGCCTTATGAAATGATCTGGGACTTTACATTTCGCGTGAGGATTTTTTCCAGTGTAAAAATTTATGCTGTTATTTTATTTTATTTTTTTCATCTAGGTTTGGACTTAAAAAAAAACCGTTTCATAGTGACCAACACCACTCTCTAATGTGACATAAAGCAGCTCCTGCCACGCTGCCCAGTCCCTTTTGCCTGGAGTGGGGTGGTGGGCATAGGCGGCCTCGCCTGTCAATGCCACCCTGAGCAGGATCCGAGGAACGGGGGCAGCCATGCCACCCCCTGCCCCCGCTGCCCCACGCTAACCTGCAAAGTGTGGGTGCCCTTGGGGACTGACTGTCTGACCTTGCTTCACACCCACGACACCAACTCCCCCAAGATGTCGCTCGAGTGGCTGGTGGCCTGGAGCTGGTCGCTGGATGGCCTCCGGGACTGCATCGCCACGGGCATCCAGTCCGTGCGGGACTGCGACACCACCGCCGTGGCCACCGTGGCCTGCCTGCTGGTCCTGTTCGTGTGGTACTGCTACCACGTGGGCCGGGAGCAGCCCCGGCCCTACGCCTCCGTCAACTCCCTCATGCAGGGCGCCGACGCCAACGGGCTGCAGAACGGGTACGTGTACTGCCAGTCCCCCGAGTGCGTGCGCTGCACACACAACGAGGGCCTCAACCAGAAACTCTACCACAACCTGCAGGAGTACGCCAAGCGCTACTCCTGGTCGGGCATGGGCCGCATCCACAAGGGCATCCGCGAGCAGGGCCGCTACCTCAACAGCCGGCCCTCCATCCAGAAGCCCGAGGTCTTCTTCCTGCCCGACCTCCCCACCACGCCCTACTTTTCACGGGACGCCCAGAGGCACGACGTGGAGCTGCTGGAGCGGAGCTTCCCGACCATCCTGGGCGAGTTCGAGGCCCTGTACAAGGGCTTCTCCAACTGCAGCCTCCCGCAGGGCTGGAAAATGAACAGCACCCCCAGCGGGGAGTGGGTCACCTTCTACTTGGTCAACCAGGGGGTGTGCGTGCCCAGGAACTGCAGGAAGTGCCCACGGACGTACCGCTTGCTCGGCAGCCTTCGGACCTGTATTGGGAACAATGTTTTTGGGAACGCGTGCATCTCCGTGCTGAGCCCCGGGACTGTGATCACGGAGCACTACGGACCCACCAACATCCGCATCCGATGCCACTTAGGTATGTTGTGGGGCCGGGGTCCCGGCACACACCCCTTCTCAGTCGCGTCGGGCCTGACTTCCGGGGGGAATCCAGACACCCCGAAAGCTCAGTAGCCAGAATTCCTGCTCTTTTCACATCTTTTATTGTTGTGCTTCACTCACAAATTGATGAGCCACCTGTAAACAGTTTGACATCAAAGATTGGGTCAAAACAATGATCAGTGTGAACCTGATATTGACAGAAGCTCTGTCCAAAGGGAGCTTTCTGTGCTGACGGGCCTGGTCTCCGGGCACACTGTCCGATACGGTAGCCACTGGCCCCACGTGACCGCTGAGTGCTTGAGATGTGATTAGTGCCACTGAGGGGCTCAGTTTTTAACTTAATCGGAATTAAAATTTAAATAGCAGCACATGGCTAGTGGCTGTTGAGCAGTGGCCCTGCAGAGCCAGAGATGGTTACAGTGGTCTCTGAGGTCCATGATGATGCGGAGGCTGTGAGAGATGCCGCGTGCCTTCTGATGCTCAGAGATGAACCGATGCTCCGGGGTGATGCTACCCAGATTCTAGGGAAGTGGGCAAGGCGTGCATTGTGTGCAGCTGTGGTTTTGAGGACAGGGTTGGGGCCAGATTGCCTGTGTTTGCATCCTGGCCCCACCTCGAGCTGGCTGTGTCTTGGGCAAGTCGCTTCACCTCTCTGAGCCTCGGTTTCCTCATTTGGAAGATCACCTTTTACAGAGTTACGCTGAAGATCTGGGAGGAGATTGTGTGTTGTGAAGCATTTGTTCACGCAGAGCGTGATAGAGAGGGAGTACTTGCTAAACGTAGGCTTGGAAACAGCTTGGTAAATGGGGTATTCGTTCCCCAGAATGCCTCGTTTGTTCCTGGTGAGTCATGATAATGGCTTGGTTACCGGGGCGATGGCACCTCCGGTTAGCATCCCAGACTGGAGGAGTGTGCGGGGCCAGGCCCAGCTCTGGGGAGTTTGCAGTGCTGCCTGGGCATCAGGATGGAGGGAGGAGAAACAAATAAACCCAATGTGGCTGGAGCAGGGTTCATAATTACCCCCACAGAGGAACCTCGGGCTGCACTGGGGGGCCCACATACCCATGCCCTCCACCCCCCTTCACGCACCCAGAGCCCTCTGCTTCTCCTGTTCTCTCTGGATTATGAATGAAGTGTGGCTTCAACAGAGGGCTTCACTGCTTTGAAAAGCAAAAGGAACGAGATTTGAGCAGTTGACACCTCGAGTATTTCAAGAGGACAGGCAGAGCAGGGTCGAGGTGGCCTGGCTTCGTGGTCAGCTGTGTCACTTTGGGCAAGTAACTGGGTCTCTGTGCCTCAGTTTCCTCATCTGTGAAATGGGGAGGTAGTACTTATCTCACAGGATCATTAGAGGGTCACATCAAGTAATATCTCCTATGGCTGCTCGACACAGTGCTTGGCACGTGACAGCATTGGATAAGCAGTTGCTGGTAGCTCTGAGGACCCGACACCAGGCTGGACCATGTGATAAAGAACCCAGGGGACACGGTCTCTGCCCTCGGGAACCATGGGGAATGAGCAGACTGTGGAAGCAAATGGGCCTGGGCCCTGATTGGTCCGCCCTATGTGCTGAGTGACCTTGGAGCCGCCGTGCTCTCCTCTCTCGAATGGAGGTAGTGATCCCCGCCTGAGGGCTGGTGGAGGCCTCGGGGTGCTCTGTGTGTGTGAAGTGATTGGCAGGTCGAGAGCGGTCAGGTCAAGGGGCCATGATTAACCTAAGAGCGGAGGTGGTCATCCAAGTGACGGATCATGATCAGTGAAATCACTGTGCGAGGCACCAGGGTGCTCCCTGAGGTCAGAGGACGAGAGGGCTGCAGGTGGGCTGCTCAGGGCAGGTGGTCTGGCCTGGAAGGGCGCAGCTGGGGAGGAGGCTTCCCTTGGGGGTTGGGGCAGCCATGTCTGGCTTGCTGGGGTGACCAGTGGTGGAGGCCGAGGTTGGAGAGGTCGGGTGGGAGCAAACCACAGAGCCTCCCCCTGCTCCCCCGTCAGGCTTGGTATTAAGGCTGTGGGCCATGGGGAACAACGCTGTTGTTTTAAAAGGCTTCCTTTTATGTTTTCTAAAAACTTCCAAATGATGCAGGGAAGGGTGTTTGAGGACAGGTGGGGTGGGACTCCAGGCAGGTGTGCTGAGTAGGAAGGGCTGGTGGCAAGGACCAAAGATTTGCCTCCTGTGTATTAATGCCTGTTGTGCATCCATGCAGTTTAAGTGTGTGTGTGTGCGTGTAAATCACACCCACACAGGTCCCTTGATGACCTGTCCTCCCCTCCTTGGCCCGCTGGGTACTGGCCACCAGAGAAAGTGGGCCACGTCATGCTCCCAGGGCAGCAGGAAGCCTTGGAAGGCGTCCCATTGGAGTGTGGCTAGTACCCGAGGCCAGGCGAGCTCCGTGGTTGGCTCTGCTCACCATTTCCTTCTTTCCACGGTCATGCCCACATTCGTATGCACCCAGGAAGGAAAGAAGGCTGTGTTTGATTCACGTGACCTTGAGTGTTGACAGAGAGGGAGGCCAGAGAAGGAGGTCGGAAACAGGGCCAGCAGGATAGGTGTCTGGTGGCCACACCTGCCAGTTACCTGGCTGTAGGTGGCGGAGGTACTGTGGTTTCTGGAATGCCAAGCCTTGTCCTCCTTTCCTGCCTGCCATCTGCGTTGTGACTGGTGGTACTGTCCCTCCAGCCACTGCTCCTCATGTGCCCGGTCATTTGCTGAGCCCCGTGTGCCCGGTCATTTGCTGAGCCCCGTCCTGCGCTACCTCCAGAGGTGGTGTCACTCAGCTTTGATTCCGTGCAGAACCAGGGACAGCTCCCGCCTGGCCACCACCTGGCACTGTGTGGGGGGCTGGGACGTCCTGCCCGCACTGCCACAAACCTCTAGGAAGCAACCTCTGACGATTACCAGGCAGGTGGCACCGGGGAGGCAGGCACCCATCCAAAGGGCTCACCCTCGGGAAAGAGTAGATAAAAATGCATATTCAGCAAATTCTCACTAAATAAGCACAATTCCACTCTCAATTTTCTTTCGTGCGTATGCTGTCAGGTTTCTGGGCCACCCCCTACGTGGTACCAGCAGATCAGCTTGTGTTTGCCTTGCCCACCCTCAGTGTCAGCCCCCGGCCTCCTGAAGTGGGGCCACTGGTGGGCAGAGCCTTTTCTCCACCTTCTCCTGCCTCCGTCAGCGGTTGGTGGGGAAGGCAGCAAACCCCAAGCCAGAGAGAGGCCTGGGCATGTGGGACTGTCTCTGACCCAGGAGCCACCTGGATTCTCATTTGGGGGGTTAATGATTACTTCTGCCAACTAAACTGGTTTGTGAGCAAGAGGCAGGAATGGTGGGCCACTGGAGGCTGGAGCAGAGTGCGGGGCGAGGCAGGGGAGAGGAAGCAGGGGGCTGATAAACCAGCAAGACACACCATTTTTCTGTTGTACTGTGGCTCATGGCAATCAGTCATTTAGTGTCTCAGAGAAAGGGGAACTTCTCTCTGAACCCCTGGGGTGGACTGTCCTTGCAGAGAAGCGCCTGTCCTAAAGGCCTTCTCCACCTGCACCAGCAGTACGGTCACGCATGAAGGGGACGTGGCCTGTGGGGCTCTCTTCATTTGCGCCAGCGGCTGGACCTCTAACCCCCAGCAGTTGTTAACAGTAGTGGGAGGTCGTGGTTTCAGAGTCAGAATGGACAGTCTCAGCTGGTGCAATAAAATGTGCTATTGATGGTTGAAACTTACCATTAACTGCAGGAAAATCAGCAACCACTTAACTACCACTGCTACTAATGTAATAGCCAGCATTTACATCATGCTGGCCCGTGTTATAAGAGCCTGTTCTTCGGAGCCAGACAGTTTGGATTCAAATCTCAGCTCCTGCCAGGACTAAACAGTGACCTCCCGCAGGTCCCTTAACTTCTCTGTATCCCGGTTGCTCCGTCTGGGAAGTAGGCGAAGTGAGGTCTGTAAAGTGTTTATTTAACACAAGCCTGCGCACAGTCAGTCTTCAGATATTAGTAGCAAGGACAGTGGTCGAGTAGCACTGGCAGGTAAGTATGCTCATGCCCTCTCTTTACAGACAAGGAGGCTATGGCTCAGAGAGATCGAGTGCTTGCCCAGAGTCACACAGCAGATATGAGTCAGAGTCAGTGATCTGATCCCAGGGCCTCTGTCCTTCCCACGGCTGCGCGCGGCCTCCGTTAGAATTCTTACTGCATTCATGCTTCCCGGAACCATCCATTTTTGGCTCCGAGAGTGCATTACAATACCCCGCCTGTGAGAGAGAAGGCTGTCTCATTTTGTTATAAGGGACACTGCCGACTGGCCCAGGGGCGTGCTTGTCACAATGAGTCACTGAACCATTTCCCCAGACCTTTGGCGTGGCGAGGGGACGTGAATGCGCATGCGCGGCAGCACTTCCGGCAGACCCCTCTCCTGGGCTGGGCACCAAACGTGGGCCTCGCCACTGGCGCTTTAAGCATATGTCTCCGCAGCAGGTGTCGCTCCACATCCTCCTAAAGCTCAGGGGTTTTCTTGCGGTGTCCTCCGGTTTCCCAGAATGGAGCCGGGGGAACCTCGATGAACAACATGCCGTCCTCGGGCCTCAAAATGGATGGAAGGGTTGGAACCCAAAGAGGAGGGCACCGTGTGAGCCTTTGCGTCTTCGGTCTCACCGAGAGCAGCCCTAGAGGCGGGACTGTAGGAAACACGATTATTGATAGGCAGGGCTCTGAGCCTGCTCCCGCAGTTTCCGGTGGTGCCGCGGTTGGTCTTCCGGAGTCTTCAACGTGTAGGGCAAGCTCGGTTCCCGGCTTTAGCAGAGGCGCCCAGGACCCAGAGCAGGTTAAGCCAATGGAGGGATGAGTTTTTCCAAGGGGTACAGAGAGGATCCAGGTGCTTACCCCGCATTTGCCCTATTGAACTATCCCCCTCCCCATATAGAGACCCCAAGGGGTGAGGATAAAGATTGGAAATCGAGAGCTGCCCGCTCCCAAACTTCCGGCCACCCCTGACTTCCGGCCCCACGACTTCCGGCCACATCTGACTTCCGGCCACCCTGACTTCTGGCCATGCCTGATCTCGCCTGCCTTCACTCTCTGCTCTACCTTTTCCTCCGAGGTCTGAAAACTCCAAGTGGCTGTGAGCTGGTGGTGGGGGGCGAGCCGCAGTGTTGGGCAGAAGGCCGCTGCCTTCTCTTTGACGACTCTTTCCTACACACCGCATTCCATGAAGGTGAGTGCCTGCCTTCCCTATTGCCGCTCTTTTATTTTATTTATTTACTTTACTAAATTGATTGGGGTGGCATTGGTCAACATGAACATATAGGTTTCCTGTGTAGATCTTTATGTTACCAGATCTGTCTATTGCACCGTGTGCCCACCGTCCAAAATCAGATCTTCTCCTGTCACCTCCTGTTAGGACCCCCTTCCTTCTGGCAGTCACCACTCTGCTGTTTGTGTTCATAAGTTTCAGTTTTATATCCCACAGTGAAGTCATACGGTGCTTAGCTTTTTCTGTCTGACTTAGTTCACTTAGCATAATGTTCTCAAGGTCCATCTATGTTGTTGCAAATGTCGCTATTTCATCCTTTCTTGTGGCTGAGTGTATATGTACTGCATCTTCTTCATCCATCCTCTGTCGCAGGACACTTCGGTTGTTTCCATGTCTTGGCCACCGTGAATAATGTTGCAATGAACATAGGGGCGCATAATCTTTGCAAATACATGAGTTTGAGTTTTTTGTGTATATACCCGGGAGTGGGGTTGCTGGGTCATATGGTAGCTCTAGTCTTAATTTTTTGAGAAATCACCAGTACTGCTTTCCACAATGGTTGTACCAGTCTACATTCCCACCAGCAGTGAGTGAGGGTTCCCTTTTTTCCACAACCTCTCCAACACTTGTTGTTGCTTGTCTTGTTGATAATGGCCACTCGGACAGGTGTAAGATGGTCTCATGGTAGTTTTGATTTGCATTTCCCTAATTGCCAGAGAAGTTGAACATCTTTTCATATATCCTGGGAGAGGTGTATTTTCAGGTCCTTTGCCCACTTTTTGATTCGATTGTTCGGTGTTGAGTTTTACGAGTTCTTTATATATTTTGGAAATTAAACCTTTGTCAGAGCAGCTGTGTGCAGATATCATCTCCCATCTGGTTGGTTGCGTGTTTGTTCTGTTGTCAGTTTCCTTTGCTGTGCAGAAGCTTTTTAGTTTGATACAGTTTCACTCATTATTTTTGCCTTTACCTCCTGTGCCTTTAGGGTCAAGTCCATAAAATGTCCTCTACGGCCCAGGTCCATAAGTTTGGTACCTACCATATATTTTCTGCTATGTCACTTACAGTTTTGGGTCTTATGTGTAGGTCTTTGATCCATTTTGAGTTAATTTATGTACATGGGGACAAACTGTAATCCAGTTTCATTTATTTGCATGTGGCTTTCCAGTTTTCCCAGCACCATTTATTGAAGAGACTACCTTTACTCAAATGTGTGTTTCTGGCTCGTTTGTTGAAAATTATCTGTCCATATGCATGTGGTTTTATAGCTGGATTCTCTATTCTGTTCCATTGATCTGTGTGTCTGTTTCTCTGCCAGTACCATGCTGTTTTGAATATTGTAGCTCTGTAGTATAATTTAAAGTCAGGTACTGTGATACCTCCAGCTTCATTCTTTTTTTTTTTCCAGCATGGCTTTGGCTACTCTGGGTCTTTAGTGGTTCCATACAAATCTGATGATTTCTCGTTACATTTCTTTAAAAAATGACATTGGGATTTTGATGGGGATTGCATTAAATCTGTATATTGCTTTGGGTAATATGGCCATTTAACTATGTTGATTCTTCCAATCCATGAACATGGGATAGTTTTCCATTTTGTTGTGTCTTTTTAAATCTTTCGTAGTAATGCTTTGTAATTTTTAGTATATAGATCTTTCACATTCTTTAAGTTTACTCCTACCTCAACATAATAGAGGCCATATATGATAAACCCTCAGCTAATATCATACTTAGTGGTGAGAAATTGAAAGCTTTTTCCCTAAGATCAGAAACAAGACAAGGATGTCCACTTTCACCACTCTTATTCAACATAGTGCTGGAAGTCCTAGCCAGAGCAATAAGGCAAGAGAAAGAAATAAGACGCATTCAAATAGGGAAGGAAGAAGTCAAATGGTTGCTTTTTGCAGATAGGAAACCCTAAAGACTCGACCAAAAAACTATTAGAAACAATAAACAATGCAGTCAGGTTGCAGGATATAAACTCAATGTGCAAAAATCCATTGCCTTCCTGTATACTAACAACAAAACTTGAGAAAAAGAAATGGAAAAGACCATTCCTTTTGCAATAGCAACCAAAAGAATAAAAAACCTAGGTATTGCTGCCCTTTTAAAAGGAACTTTATTTTTAGAGACGTTTTAGGTTTCCAGAAAAATTGAGCAGAAAGTACACAGCACCCTCCCTCATCCCGATACCCAATTTCCACTTTTACCAGCATCTGGCATTAGTGTGGTGCATCTGTTACAACTGATGAGCTCATAGCGACATGTTGTTGTTAACTAAGTCGATAGTCTGCATTAGGGTTCACTCTGTGTTGTACTATCTGTGGGTTTTGACAAACGTATAATGACATGTACGGACCATGACAGGATCACACAGAGTAGCTTCAGTCCCTCAATGTCTTGTGCTCTTACATGCTCCTCTCCCTCTGCCTGCTCCTGTTATGCACTCTGCTAGGGTTTTGACAAACGTGTAATGACATGTATGGACCATGACAGGATCACACGGAATAGCTTCAGTCCCTCAATGCCTCCTCTCCCTCTGCCTGCTCCTGTTATGCACTCTGCTTGGAACCGTAGGAAGCCAGGATCACATTCCTGATCAGAGAGCAGGAACTCTTCCGATCTGTGCTGGAAAGCTAACCGTGGGTCCTGGCTTCGGGCTGTTCGAACCTCTCCTCTCTCACCCCCATCCCAGGTGCCGCGGAGGATGGCCCACGGGTGGTTTTCATGGTGGATCTGTGGCATCCGAATGTCGCCGCGGCTGAACGGCAGGCCCTGGATTTCATCTTTGCTCCAGGCCGATGAGAACACTTCCCGTGCCAGGTCGGCGAGAGTGGCCTGGGGACAGCCGTGGGCCGGTCCAGCGCACGTGTTACGATTCCATGCTCAGAAACCTGCCTCGACAGAAAGCTCTCATTGGGGATTTTTATACCACGTTGGGTCCCTCTTTGCTCCCGTTGTTAGTGGGAAACTCCAGCTTGTACTTCCTTAGAGGTCTTTTTCCTTCTGTTCGTTTGCTTCTGCGGTTCGTTTCCGCCTAATGGCGCGGGACTTCGCTCTGCGGCCTGAGGCTCCCAGAGGCTCGGTGCCCCTGTTGTCGGTGTCACGTTGCTACTTGTTTTTTTCAGTGATCAGATGGTTCTTTGTCTGAATGTAACAACGTAAAACTTCTTGTGGTCACCATACAAAACAGAAAACTCTGCCACCCATAGCACTAGAGAACGTGGCCTTTGCTGCTGTCACGGCCACAAGGGGGACCCACCCGCCCCCCAGGCAGGGGAGGCTGCAGTCCCTGCACCCGGCCAGCTGCATGGGCAGGGTGGACATGAGCAGGGGCACGGCCTGGGGAAATGTCACCATCCGCTCACCCCACCGCCAACCCTGTCTGTCTGATGGCGGAGAGCGTGCGGCTGCGGGACCGGAGCGACATGGCTCCCCTTCAGAGCCGAGGCTGGTGTCCTCGGGCGGGGCTCCCACGGCTCAGCCGCAGAACGAGTACTTCACTTACCTCACTGCCTACAGAAGCCCCACTGCCACCCGGGCCTGCGCAGTCCCCGTGTTAGCCGTTGTGACGCTGAGCTCGGAGACCGCCTGGTTGGCCCCTTGGAGCTGTGGCGGCCGAGACTCCACTTGTCCAGCGACATCTGGGCAGCCTTTCTCTGGCAGAACTGGAACTCCAGGTGTGACCCAAGTGTCTGTTTCGTTCGGAGTTTCGTGGCCTATGATTTTCCATTTACCTGTTTGTACATAAATGTTCAAACGCTGGACTCAGTGCGAGAGTCAGCCCTGTGGCCCTGTTATTGCTAAGGCGTGAGCTGAGTGATGGCAGCCGAAGCGAACGTGTGAGTGGGGATCCCCGGAGGACCGACAGACCCAGAGGACCCTGGTCCCGGCACTGGCTGGGACTCCAGGTGTGACCCAAGTGTCTGTTTCGTCTGGAGTTTCGTGGCCTATGATTTTCCATTTACCTGTCTGTACATAAATGTTCAAACGCTGGACTCAGTGCGAGAGTCAGCCCTGTGGCCCTGTTATTGCGAAGGCGTGAGCTGAGTGATGGCAGCCGAAGCGAACGTGTGAGCGGGGATCCCCGGAGGACCGACAGACCCAGAGGACCCTGGTCCCGGCACTGGCCTGGCCCTTCCATCTCCTGTGAAGGACACGGCCAGGTGGGGGCGCTAAGTCTAGAAACGTCCTCCTGTTAGCTGAGGTGTGGAGGGCAGCCTCCTCCATCCATACCAGATGCCGGTTTGCATCATGGATAATGGCAGTGTCAGGTCAAGGAGGCCGTGGCGCGGTATGAATACAGGCCTGTCACATGTGCAGGTCCCGTGTTTCCATCCACATGGAAGCCAGCAGCTTCTGTGAGAAGTAACCACGACCTGAAACGCACTAGGCAGACTAGCAAGTGTGCCAAGAAAACGTGTCCGCGGTTGAGTGAAATGTCTGCGAGAGATTTTCAGTGATTAGAATGCAGGAAAGGGCAGACCTTTCAAAACACCTGAAGTCTCCTCACTTGTATTTGTTAAAGAATCACTTGAGGTGCATGATTTCTATACATACCGACCGCTCCACGTTTACAAAGCCAACAGCCGCGCAGGCACCTGGCTGCCTGCACTTGTGTGACGTGATGGGGAACAGGAGATCAATAAAGGGTCTTGCTGAAAACCACAGTGAAATGGTGGCGTCGTCTGTTGGGCAGGAGCCCTGAGCCGGGCACAGCTGAGTTAGAGGCTCTTGGTTTTTGGATGGTGTCACAGCGACAGGCGGGACCCTAAACGTATAGTGACCGAAGCAGGATGTTCTAAAAGAATGGGGGTGGGGCGGGAGAGACAAGAACAGGCCTGCGGAAGGTTAAGGAATGGCCAGTGTCACCCTGGCCAAGAACAAGGACTCGGGCTTAAGGAAAGCTGGTGCCAGGACTCGGTGCCAGGTGCTCCTTCCCACGTGACCTCTGGCCAGTCCCGGAGCCTCTGGGAGCCTCAGATGGCGCTATTGTAAATTGTGCTGCTATGAACATAGAGTGTATCGCGCCTCTGTAGGGATGGTCCCTGGCAGGCAGAGCAGCGATGCTGGTTCCCTTCCTGCCTTGGCCGAGGTCCCAGGCAGTTACGGAGAAGCAGGTGAGGAGGCAGGATGGGCGAGACAGAGATGGATGAGCACATCTGATTGGGGGGGGGGGCAGCCAGTGGCTCCTTTCTATCCCTCTAGAAGCAGGTTCCTCAGTAGCTACAATTTGAAATTTTTTCCTTTTCTTAGAAGAGGGACAGATGGCCCTGGTGGCCTGGAACCCCAGGAGCAGTCTGGCCGCCAGGTGTTTGCCCATGCAAGCCCGTTCCCAGCCCACAGCCCTGGCTGGGCTGCCCTGGCAAACGGAAGAGCAACACTCGCTGGAGACCGCGGCGTTTCTCCCTCCTCCAGGGTGCATCGCCAGCTAGGCAGCTGCTGAAGTGATTTATATGCTTCAGCCTGGGATGCTCAGGGCGACAAAGGGGCCAGCAGGCCCGCCCCGCTCAAGTGAGAAGCCCTCCCTCGACCCCGATGCAGCCGGCATCAGCTCCAAGGCCAGACTGCACAAGGTCGATTTGCACCAGGTCACATCCCACGTGTCCCAGGCACCTGCTCATCCTCCCCAGACTCATCTAGGTTTTCTGGGTTCTGACCCCCTTGGTGACAGTGACCACACCTACAGCTTATAGTGGGGGACGGGGAGCGTATGCCTAATCCACTAGTTCTTGACTTTGGCTGCACAGTACAATCAGTATTTTGAGAAATACTGATGCCCACCCCCCACCCCCAAAGCATTTCATTTCTTGGTTCAGGGGGTACGGTCCAGTCCTGGTGTTTGTTTTAACCCTTTACCTGCCTTGATTCTAATGTGTAACTGGAACTGAGGGTTGCTGCCCTGAATGGCAAAAATAGAAAAGCCTTTGGAACCAGCCAGCTTGAGATGAGAGTCTGGGCCGTGCCCCTGTGTGATGATGGGCAGCCCCCCCCCCCTTGGGCCTCGAGGGGACGGTCAGTGTTTTAAACACACTTCTCAAGCAGCACCCTGGTGAGCCCCTTACAAGACCATAACATCCCTATTCTCAGTGCTTGGGTTTCCGGGAGGTGACCCAGCCCCAGTTGCAGGGCTTTGTTTAGGATCCAGAACTGACCAATCAGAGCCTTCCAAACTCTTGGCTATTCAGAGATTGCGCCAGGGCTGGGCACATGACCCTCTCCACACCCATCAAAACCTTTTAAACCAACCCCTGGGCAGTCAGATTGGGTCAGGGCTGGCATATGATTCAAATTCTTTTGCTGGGACCATTGAGAAAGAGGCAGCTTTTCAGTGGTGGACATGGGCATCTAGTGTAAAGAAAATCTGAGAGTGAAAACCACAGAGAAAAAGAGATTCTCTTTCTCTCCCCCCCCCTCCCCCAACCATGGGGATCATCTGAGTCCTGGGTCCTAACTAACTTTTCCTGGAACGAGCTCTACCTCTGGACTTTTCAGTTACATGAGCCAAGAAGCTCCCCCCTTTATTCTTTTCTTTTTAAAAGTCTATTGTTGAAAGTATTGCATATGTCCCCCCTTTTCCCCCATTGCCCCCTTCTAACCTGCCCTGCCCCTGCCTTCACCACCCTGTTGTCCGTGTCCATGGGTTATGCTTATATATACGCATACAAGTTTTTTGGTTGATCAGTTCCCATCCACCCACCCTCCTCCGCCTTCCCTCTGAGGTTCCGCAGTCTGTTCTGCGTTTCTATGTCTCTGGATCTATTTTGCTCACCAGTTTATGTTGTTCATTAGATTCCACATATGAGTGAGATCATGTGAGACTTGTCTTTCTCTGACTGGCTTATGTCATTTAGCATAATACTCTCTAGGTCCCTCCACGCTGTCTCAAAGGATAAGAGATCCTTCTTTTTCACTGCTGCATAGTATTCTGTGGTGTAAATGTACCACAGCCTTTTTATCCACTCGTCCACTGATGGGTACTTGGGCTGTTTCCAGATCTTAGCTATTGTAAATTGTGCTGCTATGAACATAGAGTGTATATATTCTTTCTGATTGGTGTTTTAGGTTTCTTAGGATATATTCCTAGAAGTGGGATCACTGGGTGAAATGGCAGTTCCATATTTAATTTTTTGAGGAAACTCCATACTGTTCTCCACAGTAGCTGCACAGTCTGCATTCCCACCAGCAGTGCACGGGGGTTCCCTTTTCTCCACATCCTTGCCAGCACTTGTTGTCTGTTGATTTGTTGATGGTAGCCATTCTGACAGGTGTGAGGTGATACCTCACTGTTGTTTTAATTTGCATCTCTCGGATGATCAGTGACTTTGGGCATCCCCCTTTATTCTTAAGCCAAGTTTGAGTTGTGGTTTCTATCCCTGGCCACCAAAAAGTCCTACTCCACTCCGTGAGCCTCCTCTGTAAAATGAGCCCAGTGCCTACTTTCAGGTTTAATAAGTCAAATTCTGGGTGGGTTGGGCGTGCTCCATACATATTTTTAAAATGTAAATACGAGAAGCAAAGCTAAGTACAAAATGCTGTTTCTAAGGCCCACTGCGGCCTGCCGCCAGCACCCCCAACCCCCTAACATTGACCTCCCAGCGGAGTCTTGCTAAGCAGCTGTGAGCACAGGGAGGACAGAACAAGGCCACAGATCTTCGAGCTGCTGACAGATGGCAGTGAGAATACTCAGGCAGATTGCAGCGTTAGGTGGCAGGAGGCAGCACACACGGGCTGATTGACTTTCTGCCTCCCCCCGAGGCATGCACATTGGTCCTGATTTCTAGTTACCCCCCACGTTCCCCGTGTTTCCACACTTCCGATGCCTTAGCCACCCCGATTCAAGGTGAGGGCCTTCCTCCGTGAGGACAGAGAGCACCGTGCTCGCTAGAAGATCCCTCCACATACAGTATTTCCACACTAACACGGACAGCTACACGGGGCGGAGGGACAGTTGTGCACACTGAACAGGAGAAACAGGCTCAGAGCGGGCAGCTCATGTGACCAAGGTCATGCGGTGGCTGGAGACGGCGGCAGTGAGAAACCAGGTGGCCAAGTAAACTCAGCCGTCTTGAACTCAAACACACATTCAGGCCTCTGCACGGCCTGCAGAGGGACCCCCTGCACAGGGACGCCCAGGAGGTGGTTAGCGACACTCACGCTGCGCTCATTTGCAGAGAGGGCCCACAGTATGCCACGCCTTTAAATACACCGCGTCTTCCTTTCCGTTCTAAAGAACATGACATAGGGTTGAGAGAAACGAAGTAACTTGGGTCAGTTTCCAGGGCAATAAGTCGCAGAGCTGTGATTGGAACCCAGGACTCTGACACCAAAGCCCACAGGCGCCTGTTGCCACCAAAACCCTGTGGTCTGTTTGGAGATGAAGGATGTCCATTCAGACTCCAGTGCCTTTTTACAGCACACAGATGGCTCCTGTCACCCTCCTGCCCACGGGCCTTGCTGGGTCCGCTGGTCAGGGCCCCAAGCCCTTCCCTGGGCGCTCCTCACTTGATCGTGAAGACTCACCTCAAAGGGCAGCACCTGGCTGCCTGAGCACTGATTCTCAGAAACCAAAGCGTTTTGTATTAAAAGCATTTCTAACGCAATGGCAGCCCTGGGAAATCAGATGGGAAGAGAGGTTTCTGGATGCAAAACAAACAAGATTAAGATCTGCCAATGGCCTGCCATGTAGGAAGGCCCAGCGGCAGGCAGCGATCTTCTTGTGAAACATCTTGTGTGAAGGGTCCTTGAATCAGATGGTTCGCTGAGCTCCCGGTGGGTGGATGGAAATGGGTCCAGGCTCCAAACTGTCCCTGTTTCAACACACGACAGCTTGTAATCCACCCAGCTCGACTCTGGGGGCATCAGCTCTGGAGCAAAATGAAAAGCTGGGCAGCTTAAAAATACCCGCAAGGGGAAAGGAAAAGCAACGCGTTCTGTGTAAGTTAGTCCTGAAGGTTCCTTGCGTGGTTGGCGTGGAGACTTGGGATGAATTTTTTCTTGGAGAACTTAGCAGAGAAGGAGGAAAATAGATATTTATCCTAGCTGGAGGTAGGATAGATATTTATCCCCGTGGGAAGATGGCCCTCTGGGCCAGCCAGTGGCAGGAGGGGGGGGGGGGGGGGCTGGGGGGGGGCCCGTCTTGGAGAACTTAGCAGAGAAGGAGGAAAATAGATATTTATCCTAGCTGGAGGTGCAAGCCGCCTCCTCCCCGGGGGAAGATGGGGGGTGGGGGGAGGGGGCTGTGGGCGAGCCTGGCGGAAGCTGGTGCTCCTCGGAGCAGCTGGCTGGCCCCCGTCGCCCACGCAGAGACCATTCTGAAGTGCACCTTCCTCCCCTGGCCGCCCTGGCTCAGGCACGAAAAGGAGAAACGTGTCCACGCAAAATATGCGCGTACGTGCACACACAAAACACCTTAGCCCCCACCTTAACTTGGTCACTAGACATGTTCCTCTTTAATTAATCAGAACTCAATGGCGATTTTGGCTGTTTTATTTTAGCCTTTGGAAACTTGTTTCAAGAAAGACACCATGCCATACACATGAGGTGCAATTATTGACATCGCAGTTTTCAAATGGAATCTTTCAGTAAACACTGAGGAGACTTTGGTAAATAGCTTCATCCTACGATCTGCACCGCATTTCATAACATGTCTGACTATGACGTAATAG